ATATTTGCATTTCCAATACTTAAAAACACATTATACAAAATAACCATTTGCTATGAAAGAGATGTTCCTCGATATTCACACATGTAAGAGATGCGCCTTTCCTGTCATCTTCCAAATCCTCTTATGTTTTACCAGTAAAGAATGCAATGGGCACATCTAATATCATTTAAAACTTTATCTGTTCAGCATCCTACAGTTTGCCCTTGACTCTCCCAAAAATCAGTATATATTTGTTTCTCTTCAAGGTAGTTTCTGCCTCTTCCTACTGATAGGATACCACCTACCGAGCAGAAAGATGCAAGCCCCCTGCTACAGAGATACAGCTGGGATGCAATTGGAAGCTGATTTTGAAGGTTCATGATTGACTCCATCGTTAAGGCTACATTAAGATCTGAACTTAAAGCAAGATGAAAGTTACCCCATTTCACACTGTCGTGATTGAATTTACGCTACATTTAACACACTAACTCTTCCCAGGACAAATTAATTTTCTAAATTTTTTGGCTCAGCTTAACTAATATTGCTAGAGGTTTTTCTTACATGAGGTCTTTTCAAAAAATCTCCTCTAAGATTCTTATTCCCATTTCCTCCTGCACAAGATTCACAAAGCTGGAGAGCTATACAGCACCTACACACCCCTAATTTCAAACACACACGCACTTCAGTCTAATACATCAGAGATAAAACAGCTACCATATGTCATACCATAGCAAACAGCTTTTTTTCTCCCTTATTCAACATAACCAAAATTAGCTCCATAATGATCAGCTGACAGACTGCCAAGTAGTTGGTTTGACATGACCTGCACTCAAACACCTGCACTGCCTCTGATATTCCACTGCACTTCTCACATAAACCCCAATAGTTTCTTGAGCCCGAGGTGCTAGAACAGTAGCCTAACTAGCCTAACCCACTGCAATGCAACCATAACTCTCCTGATGCATCAGCATGCTAGGGACGCTTGCGGTGTTGATGCCTCAAATGTAAAGATGCTGAACTCCCTGCTACACTCTTCTGATCAGTCCCACTATCTTTTTGCACTCCCCTGCCCTACTGCACAAAAAAAGAGCTGCATGCTCTGACAAATCCACTGTTCTTGCTCATAAGGGGACTGTGAAAATTGAGCATGTGCTGTCAGAGAAACCACTGCCTTTGTTTCATCAGAAAAGAGCCCCCTCCCACACCCTCTGATACAGGACTGTGTATGTATGGGATTTGATAGGCGTTTCACAGGAGCTATCCCTCAATAAACACTACACATGGGCACTTATCAGAACAGTTACTCCTGAATAGTCCTCTGCTTTAAATTCAGACCCTACTTTAATTCAAAGAAATCTTCAATGTAGACAAGCCCTAACTAAGTGGTGCAGTAGCTGTCTCTTTCCTGGGATGCTGCAGTGGTTAAACGACCATCCTGCTTAAACAAGAAAGTTGCTTTTTCATTTTTTCTTGGCAACTTCAGCACTTGAAAAATAGCCCTAAAAAGTCCCTATTATTAACATACCATCTGGTGAAGCGTTAATCAGATGTGCCCCAGTGTAAGTGGCATTTAGCCGCAGACATTCTCATTCGCTGTCGTTGGGTTTAATTGAAATACATTTCCTGGCAGGTGCCTGTTTAAGCGAGCCCCTGTATAGTAAGCCTAAGTTTAAGAAAAATAAATTATTCATACAGAAATGGAACATGGCTGGATTAACAGCTATTCAAACTTTCAATTTTTCAGTTCCTGATTTATTTTTTTACATTTTAATTTTACAGCCATAATGACATATTACATTGAGGATTTTTTTAAAAACATTTTCTAAGGAAAAAATAAACTGAGGTATTTGGCATCACTGGTTTATTACCATCTTGTTCTAGCTCTCTCTCACACACATACACCTCAGTTTACACACATGCATGCACATGGTATAACCCAGGCCAACCTGAATCTGCAGACAACTTAAAACAATACAGCCAAAAGGCCCAAATTGCTCCATTCAACTCGGAAAGGCTGCTCCTGGAGACCAGGGAAGGAAGTATGTAGCTAGCAGCATCAAACTGGGGCTTGGAGGTAAGCAAGCCATTACTGAAGCCTTCCAATCATGTTCCTCCACCCTCCTGCTCTGACGGATAAATGTTAAGGCCCCCTTTCTGTGGAGGGCTGCCAAAGAGTCAGAGAGAACTAGGGCTGGAAGGAGACAGGATCATCCCCATCTAAACACACTATGCAAATCAACTGTCTAACCTCTAAGCAAAACCACAGAATCAGCCCCGACATAACAGACAAAACACCCTAACTTGCACAGGTAAAACAGAGGGACCATGGTGGCCAACATCCTGCAGCTACAAAGGTTGTTAAAAATATACTATAGATCCCAGGAGGAGGGTCATGCCCCCCACTACAGAGGAAGGTAAAAACCCCCACAGCCCATACCAATATGACTATGGGGTAAAATTCCTTCCTGACCATAAATATGGTGCTTGGTCTGACCCTGAGCAGAGGGGCAAGATCCTCTAGATGCAACCCTCTAAGTTTAAGTCCCAGCAGAAGCACTGGCACACCCCAGTCAGTCCCCAGCTCTGGCTGCAGCCAACACCCAACACCTCTGAGGAAGACTTAAAAAAAACCTCTGCCATGTAGCTGAAGCGAGGGAGGGGGAGCAAATTCCCTCCCAGGCCCACGTGGCAAGCCACAAAGCCCAGAAGCATGGGAAATAGCCACAGAAAACCTAGGTATAGCTACATCTAAATCATCCCTGACCACCAGCTGTCCAACCTCTTATTGAGCATCTCAAGTGATGGAGTCTGAACATGTCCATTTCCTTCAACCTCTCCTCATACAACTTGTTTTCCAAGCCCTTTATCGTATTTCTCACCCACCTCTTGGCCCTCCTTAACTTCTCCAAGTCTTTTTTACAACGTGGAGTCCAAAACTGCACACAATACACTAGACGAGGCCTAACCTGTGTTGAATAGAGAGCCACTACCACCTATCCTGGGTCTTGCACATGGTGCTTCTCTTCATGCATCCCAAAACTGTATTCACCTTTTGTGCAGCTTCATCACCCTCCAGATTCTTCTTGAATCTACCAAGACTCCCAGATCCTTCTCAGCAGCACTGCCATCCAACCAGGTGTCACCCATTTTGTATTTGTATTTATGATCCTTCCTGAAGTAAAGCACATTGCATTTATCAGCTTCATCCTGTTAGCTCCAGCCAAGCTTTCCAATCTGTTGAGATCCTTCTAAATTGAACTCCTGTCCACCAACATATTTGCAATCTTTCCCAGTCTACTGTTATCTGCAAATTCACTCAAGAAGCTTTCTATGCCATCATTCAAATAATTAACAACACACAATGAACAGCACTGGGTGCGAGACGGACCCCTGTGGGACTCCACTCGAAAGCTCCTGCCATTCTGACATGAACCCATTTATAACTACCCTTTGCTTGAGACTACTGAGCCAGCTGTCTATCCTGGTAGTAGCTTTGTCCAGCCCACATTTCTCCAATTTGTTCACGAGAAGTTCATATAGAACCCTGTGAAAAGCCTTGCCCCCCGATGTACTATATCTACTTGATCATAGAGCGTCGTTGTTCTACGGCAGCCCCAGTAAACCTAAGGAGAGTGATGCCAGGCCCCTCATAGTAACAACCACCAGGGATCTAAATTACTTTAATCTGATTCTGTATACATGGGACTTGTTTTAGGATATTCAATGCACACCAGTAGGTTCACAGAAGTAAGTGCCTGGCCTGTAAAATAGATGGAAGTTCTGACACTGAATTCTAAGAGAGGCTAGGTTCACATACCGTCACTTTCTATTGCTCCTGCTCGGTATATGGTTTTCAAGCAGTGAGCTTTACTCAGTTTACTGGATACCAGAATCACTAGCTCCAATTTAAAATGTATGCTTCCTGCCCTGAAGAGTGCACAATATAAACAGTGGAGGAAAAGAAAAAGAACAGCAGCTTTCATGCATCTGGTCTTCTTCATGACATCAGTGGCAAGTAATTTCGTTTAAAACGCTGCTCTTTTAGTTTTGGTTAATGTTCCTTCACAAGGGGTTATATGCATTTTAAAAAGGCTTGAAGGCAGCAATGGTAAAGGAACAGCATGCACATTCAGGGAGTCAGGCTTCAAAAACATAAGCAAGGAACTTTACTCCAGACAGAGACCAAAAACGGAAAAGTGCAGCCCAAACTGTGAAAATGACAGGTATGAACACACAACAAATTTAGCTCACAACCATTTTACAGCTTAACTTGAGCAGACCCAACAAAGGGTCCTGGACCAATGTTACATTTATTGCATGACAAACTGTAACAAGCTACATATTCAGGCAATTTATAGTGCAGTAAAATAGCAAACCAGCCAAAATGATGTTCCATATTAAATATGTTTAAATGTGGAACAACTGTGGTTAGTCTGCATTGCACCTTAAATTGAATATATAACATGCCCCAGACCCACGGCTGCCTGTGCTTAATCTGAACAATCAGCCAATCATGAGAATCACAGCACTGGAATCCAGGACAGTGTTTGTATCTGTCCCAAGAAAATGACATGCAACAATCTAACTCCTTCATTCATCTAACAGACAACTTTGACAACCCTGGACTAAAGCAATCCAAAGCCATGAAAATAAAGACATACTTATTCCACACAACAGGAAGACTATAGTCTTACTTTGATGCTGATAAACTGCAAGCACCACTGGTCATTTTCCTCCAGTTTAACATAGAACACTTCCTAAAGCATAGAGACGTTTTTCGTCAGGTTATTTCATTATTAACGCAAGGCAACTTTCACAACTTTACCTGAAATTAGAAGTAGATGTTTTGCTTTAATGGACAAACACTAAAAGCAAAGATACCGACTAAATCACCAAGCCATGAGATCCAAGAGTTATAATGTGCCTACTGCAACATCAGTGAGGTCCATTTCTAAAAAGGCTGGAATTAGCTAAGAGATGATCATTTCATGTAAATGCAACAACATCTTACTAGTAGTAAAACCATGTTTTTCTTGTCATCTTTATTCAAGTATTTCACAGCAGTTATATTACAAATTACAGTAAAATGTTCAAAAATTTCCAGAAGTTCAAAAAAATTAAATAACTTACTTCAAACTAATGTAAAAGGAAGTCAAAATGCAAAATATCAATTTAAACACAATTCTGAATAAAACTATAGAATCCAAAATATACCATAGTTGATGAAGGAAGTCTACTCAATCCACAGAGTAGACACACATGAATAAAACCAAACAACAGGGTTCCCCGATGTCTAAATAACCCAATGTACAAGATATAAAAGATGCAAGTACAAGCCCAAATTCAAGCTTATGTTGTGATTACAAAAAAATAAAATAAAATAATGACTATCAGCTGCAGGACCTGCCATTCAAGCTACTGAAGGAGAAGCCAGCACTGACCCACCAACTTAATCAAAAAATGGGAAGACAAGATATTACAAAAAACAGTAATCCTATAAATACATTGTTGGCATATGAAAAAAAAAAATCAAGTAACAATACATAGGACACCAAACAAAAAAAAATAATCACAGGTGAAATTCAAGCTTGCAAATACAATTAACTCCACAGCCATCTACTTCACCCAAGAACAGTTCTACTATCTCCAATACCTCTGCCCCACAGAGAAGCTTACTTCGGTCTGGCTGAGCCATACTTTATTGACCCGACAACAAGGCCTTGCACAGGAGTTTATTTGCAATTTTCACAACAGGAAACAAGGAACAGAGGTCAATTTGTACAAATTCTTGCCAATACTAGATGGCAAAAAAAAATTAAGAATCATACAAGAGTAAACAAGTTTAGACCACATGGATAGATTAACAGCTGCTTTAACTCTATAACCATCAGACATCTGTAAAGGAAAAAAAAAAAAAAAAAAACACCTGATGAAGTGTGGTTATTTGGGCCAGAAAAAGTGAGTATATAGTTTTACCCAAGTTGTCCACTAAAATATACTTAAATTGGCTAATTCTTTCCAAAAGACCTCAACTGTTAAAGTGGCAGCTCCTTGATTAGTAAAGATGCCTCTTTCAGTTTTCAAATCAATATTACTGACTAAAGGTTGTTTTTTCCAAAAAGAACCTGACCTTTTAGAACCATTTTAATGCTAGGCATGAGCTTAAATTTGCTTGTCACACTCACTGATGACTAAAATCTCAATGGTTTAATTCAAACAAACTTTGCAACCTGTTAAAAATGTATGCAGTTTTATCTTTCACAAGTGCTGCTGCTACTTGAACAAAAAATTTTTTATGCAAGTGAAACTGGAATATTTTTTAAAAATGCTGCAGCAAGAACCTGAGACTTGCAAAAAACCCTTTTATCAGAAGCTTGCTACAAAAAATCTGCTACATTTTATTTAATCAAATCTTTACGTTTGTAACAATTTTCATCAAAATACAAAATGCTTTTAATGCACCAGAGAGCAAAATATTTTAAACAGGTATGATGGTAATAAATACTAAAGAAAACATGAAAAAAAAATCCCCATAATCAAAATCTGAGATCAAAGAACCTCTTGTTTAAAATGTGTTTGCTATTATTTTTAATCGCACTTTCCCACCTAAAAAATACAGTGTCTCTACACGGGTTGCATTTAGAGTAGTGTAACTAGATGCATACTAAGACTTATTTTTTCCCCTATTACATATTAAGAAACCAAGTGGCATTTAGGGGGAGAAGAAGGTCAAGTTAGAATTATGATGCTTAAACATAAAATATAAAGAAGCACTTTGGATTACTGCAGTAGCCCAAGTTTGTTTTTCTGCAGTGGCATACTACTAATAGCCATAGACATGGAGACAAGTACCTTAGCTTCAGCATGTAAACGGTAGCAGAGTGATTACAGTCCTCCGTAAACACTGTTGGTAACTAAAATACAAAAAGCTGAGGTAGCTCAGTATCTCTGCAGTAGTCCAAGACTGTTTTCTCTAATTAAAAACAAATCACATTGTGTTGCATATTTTGGAAAGACATTCCTGCAGCTACATATAACAGTTATAATGAATGGTAAAACGTAGTAACACCAGACAGCCTTTCTACAACATTTTCCACTAACTTGCCTGATAGAAATCAGCCCGGGGAATATTTTAACATTGAGCTTGTGATAAAGACTTTTCACTGAAACATGTTTTGCCTCTTGAAACTGCCTAGACGGTCTCGCCCCGATTTCCAGAAAGGAAAGGTTCTGAACTACACCATTCAGATCCAGAGAACTGCAGTCGGCACAGACCAATTCAGAGGTTCACCTTTCACCTTTTTCCCCCAACGTTAATACTGCTATACATGGACTGAGTTGTGGGAGCGGGAGCCTAGTTAAGTTGTCCTTAAAGTGAACAAGGACTCCAGATTTTCTGAGTAACCACCTCTCCCTTTTACACCCATTCAGCAAGTCCAAGCTTTAATTAACACGGAATTGAGAAAGAGACCTGCCAGAATTAAACCTCTTTTATTTCTAAGAAAATGGACAACAAATAAATAGAGCCGCGGGGAAAGAAAAAAAAAAAAGTAAGAGAACAGCCCCCTTCAAACAGTATTTTCTGCTCTTCTTTTTATCAACACAGGAAATTTCCACTGTGTAATTTGCTTCAAAAACAAATACACTGATGGAATAAAAGAATTTCACCATTCTGGTAAAATATGTGGCTTTTTTAGTGTGTCTTAGTTTAGTTCTGTAGAGTAAGACAGGCATGTTAGAACCATAATACTAGTTGCCATTCAATGACAAGGAAACACATTTCACCCATTTGGAGCTTCTCTCTCTGAAGACAGCTTTCTAACTGTCATCCACTACAATCCCAACCATCTGAATAGCCTTATCTTTCTCAATTGACTAAAAAGGCACATTAAAGGCAGTTCTAGAGAGCCTCATCTTCAAATTAATGTACATCCAGTTACTCAAGCTATCTACCACAATGCATCGTTGCCATCGTTAAACAGGTTTCTGTCCATTACCCCAGAGAACAAGAGAAAAATCTGACGAGAAAAAAAAACTGGAAAAAAAATGTTGCCTGTTTAAAAAAGTTCATCATTGTTATATCTGCTCTATCCAGTTTTCTTGTTTTTGTTTGTCTCCTCCACTGTTTGAAGTTTCCCAAAAGACAATGAATGTAGAGAGAACAAGAGCAGAAATGAGAACAGTTTCTGTAGCACCAAAAATCTCCAAGCTGTGGCGTTGTATTCGTTATTTATACCGATACAACTATATGAAGTTCCGTTTGGTTCTTGTAGGCTGGTTGGTTTCAGGTACCTGAGACAATAGCACCAAATTCAACAGAAAGAGAGAAAAGGGAGAGAGAGAGCACTTAAGACTAAGGCTCTGCACGTACTTGGTGCAAATGGAAATTGAATGGCTCAGAGGACTGCTCTCCCTGGAGCAGTTTGAGAGAGGATAAACCCACCCATCTTGAGTTCACAGGAATGTTTCAAACACATGAACTGTTCTTTCCATCTCCTGCAAGACAGAGACAAGATATTAATTATACAGATAAGGAGAAATGAATATAGTTACTGTTACACAATCCTATCTACAGTGCTTTTTTTTGGGGGGGGGGGGGGGGGGGGGGGGGAAAAAAAAATT